ATGAATTATCTAGCTATAAATTCCACTAATTACTGTTAAGAAAAATATTCTATAACATGGATAAAATAAAAATAATGTAAAAGCTGTAAAAGCGTCAGGAATGGATAATACACCCTGTATATAAACGATTTAATCGTAGTTTTGATTGTATTTTTGAGTCTATTTCTTCGCAACGTTTGAATAAATACAGTGCATTCAAAATTGTTTTTAATTAACTTTGAAGTTTTTGCAAATATGTTTATTTAATTTATCTTTTCATAGTAACATATTTTTCAGTGCTAAGGAACTTATAAATTAACTATTATTAATGGAACTTATAAAATCAACAATTTAACTTTTTTATTATTATCTATACTTGCTATTATACAATATGCAATATAACAATGTAAGTTTGCATTAAGTAAAATCAATTTTCATTAAATTTCTAATGGTAAATAACGCTCAAACTATATAATCACAACTGATTACCAGCACATTTCATCCACCCATAGACTCTCGAGTCCCGTTCCGTCCCACTCTTCCCGCACCCGGCGGTCAATCCAATCGCTTTGTTTGCGGGTCAGCACTGATCGCCAGCCGCCGGACCCTCCCTTCCGGAAGTGTGCGCTCAGTTCGGGCTTAGGGTTAGCTTTACTCATGGCTTTCAACGACGTCTGGGCGACGATGCGGTCCAATACAGTGCGGCAATCGGTGTGATCTGCCGTCTCAACGGAGGGCAACTGCCGGTCGAGTGTTCGCTCAAATTCGGGACCCAAAAAGGCTGCGATCGCGCGGACGGCCGCCGGTTTGTCCTCAAGCATACGCTCGTACACTAAGACAGTGCACAGCGGGTGTGCCCTCCGGAGCCAATACTGGCGTACAGTACGGAAATAGTCACCAAACCATAACTCGAGGCCCGACTGGTTCTTGTTTAAGTCGTTGTCCCCGTCGACGGGCAATATATGCCGTATAGTCTTACTCAATGGCCAGTTGTCCGCCCCGTAAATACCGTGTATAAAGTGATGATAAGAGGCGAACACGTCCTTCGGGTTGCGGATAACCATCAGGTATTTTGTGTTCGACGACTGGCCCGACAACAACAGCCCCGGTATGTGAGTGTATGCGAAACGGATCGTGTCGTCGGGTGTGGTGTTGGCGGTGAGCGCCGATAGGCCCGAGTATTCAAGAAAGTTGCTGTTTATATTGTAAGCTAAGTCGGTATTGTTGTTGCTTTTGTTCTCTGAGACCATATCATTACCATCAGCACCTGTACATAGGGTGGCCAACTCGTAAATATTTTATAGTGGACTTTTGCTCGAAAATCGACAAAAAATAATTGCCAACTAGTGGATATACTTATTCGTCGTGTTCTATTGTAAATTTTATCTAGTTTCTACCATTTCCCTTCCATATTTATAACTATAATTAATTAATTATATTTTTAATTATAAGTACATGTTATTTATCGAAATATATAAGTTAAGTACAAAAAAAAAAAAGAATTACTAAAATCTGATGAGTAATATAGATTTTATGGCTCAACAAAGACAGGCTTTTCGTAATGCTAATCCTATGGGCAAATTCTAAGTATGAAATATTGAGATGGTCCCAATACAAAATTTTTAGAGCAATTAAAACTGAGTACAATACAAAAAGAATTATTAAAATTGGACATGTACTTTGGGTTTTATCAACAAAACAGTAATGGTATTTTATATTAATATTAATTTTTTACTTTACTTTTTATTTATTTCACAAACAGATTATAATAAAAATAAGCATAATAATTACTAATAAATTTTATAATTTACCTTAAATACAATAATATCAATAATATTTTATTTTGAACATTTTGGAAAAATTATTATTAATCTAAAATACCATCACTGTTTTGTTGAAGAACCCTTCCTTGTAAGAAACTGAATTAAAATATTTGTTTAATTTCATATTCTGATTTGATTAGACATAACCTACGTTAATTTAACACTTTTATATAAAACACACATGCACTACAATGGATTTATGTTTATAGAGAGGTTGCCCTGTATCATTATGTATACTTTATATTGAAATGGTAATTATAAAATATTAAACACATTTGATAATTTTAATTAAAAATAGCGCCATTTATTTAACGAAAAAGCAAAACAATTAATTGCATAAAATAAAGTATTTCAAGTTCCGTAAGTGAGTCGATATAATAGACTATAATAATTATGGCTATCAAAATATCGACGATTGTTATACTGGTGACCATATTTACGATAGTAGCTGTATTCGTGCACGAGAGTCAATCAATTAATCCCGGTGCTGTATCGCAAGCTATGGCCAAATCGGAGGCCAGACTAAAGAGTGTAATAAAGGTAAAGAACTCTACAAGTTTACAAATTTATTACTTTATAAATATAACGCTAGAGAGGAGAATTGTTACTAAAAGCACGTCAAAATGCGCCAAAACATAAAAAGTCAACAAAACAAGAAGAAAGTAAAAAAATCGATGTGTGGTTACAACATAGCCACTGGCACAATCATCCAGCCATAGTAGAAGTGGCCAAGCATGAATGTTTAGAACGCAAACCCAAATGCAAGACTAATCAAATATGCGTTTATGAACCCTTAGCTGCAACAGGTCAATCAACTAAATGCAAGAAAAAAGATGGCATAAAGCCCAGGGGATATCAAGTTCATTTTGCTGAATATGAAGCATAATATGATGATTAAATAATTTTCCCAAAATTATTACCACAAATTATAAAATTTATTTAATTTATTACGCTTTAATGTACATAGTATTGTGCATAGTTTTTATGAATGGCATTGATCATGTAATATTTAATATTGATCCATATTTAATATTTGACACAATATTAAAAAATTTAAAAAATAATACATTAAAATTTACAAAATCAATTAAAATAAAGCAAACATATTTGAAGTATTTTAATTAACAAAAACAGACATTAATTATATTAGTAAAAAGTTTTATCACTAATAACTTGTTTAAAAAATAGTAATCATTTTGAATTGAGGATTTGTACAGTTTTAAATAGTTTGCATTAAATGATTAATATAAAGCTGTTTTAAATAATAAAAATGCTTTATATACATTATAAATCCAAACAATTCTAGCCTAAACATTTTAACTATCTGTAGTAGCTGCAATATAATATGTTCAAAATAAAATTTTAATTTCTCAATTAATTTCACTTTATATATTCAGGTTATAATTTTTGGTTCTAAATTTATATTAATTTGCTCATGCTATTTTAACCCATCAAAATTTATTAAATTACCACTTTAAACTGAAATAATTGGCACATGAGCATTGATGCTACCGTAGTGTAATATTATTGATCAAGAGTTATTCGACTGTATTGTTAAATAATAATATAATATAAAGTATTTATTAATCAACTTTGCTTGATTAAAATCATTATCACAGTAATAAGAAATACAAAACAAGTTGAATTTGTTATTGATAGATAATTTTTGTAATGATTTCTAGGAAGGTGCTGTAAAAAATTACAATCGCCTTTTAATTTACCTTGTTCAATAGATTAATATTTTTATCTAGTACAGTATAAGATGAACTACTGTATTACAGAAAGTAGTAATTATAATTATATAGCATGTATAAGTTAATACCATATATCAGGTTCATACAAACTTATTAAATTTATATTAGGTCATTAATTTACACTTAACACATTTACTGATTTTATTGCAATATTTAATTTCAAACCAATTATTTAATATTTAACAAATGATTATTCATTTATTTTGTCTAAATGTCAAATTGGTAGTATAAAACAATTGATGATCAAATAACATACTGGTATAATTTATATTTATACCATATAAATAATAATGTATTAAAATGACTATTAATCCGTGTAGATAAAATTGGCAATTTGTTTTTGTATTTAAAAGCTAATTATTAAGTCAACATTTTTAGGCGCCAGAAACCAAGTATCTTTAAAATCTAATAATTAGTTTATTTAAAATAAAATTTAAAGTCCGAGACGGGATTTCGAGAAATTTACAACAAAAAAATCATTTAAGATTTAATATTTAGCTCAAAATTCAGTAATAATTCAAATGTAATTTATAACCAATTGTTAAACTATTTTGAAACATATTTAAAAAACAAAATTAAGATAAAATATCATTTTTGTATTAAATTTAATTGTTTATACATTAACAATATCATTAATTTAAAAACGTTGTTGTCTAATTCAATTATTACAATAATTACAAATTTTGTTTTACTGCTTACAGTTTGTTTTTCGTGTATTGTGTAATGTATGTTTACATTATATTTATTATATTGAATAAAAATACAGTTTTAAATTATTAAATATACATTTTCATTAAAAATTAAATGTTAAAAAAATATAAAATTAATAAATATATAAATTTCTGTCTCCATGTTTCGCCCATTAAAATAATAATTACAAATTTGGTTATACTGCATACAATATTTGTTTCTTAGATTACAGTTTGTTTTTGTAAATGTGTTATTAAAAATTGCTCAATTAATGAATTGCATTTTTATAATCCAAAAAAATTTATAAAAGATTGCAAATTAAAAATTACATTAATTTTATTAGACATTAAAAAAAATTTATATAAAATACAATTAATAAATTAATCTGTAATTGTACCATGAACGGTTCCACAAAACACGGTTACTTTATCACCGAGAAGTCTGGCTATAATATCACCTTCAATGGGTGTAGGGGTGGAGACGGGAATTGTGAGTTTGGTGGTAAACATTTTGGTTTCCCCTTTTTTGATAGGACAGGGAGTGTCGTGACAGCCGTCCGAATCAAATTTGGGTATCAGTCGAGACAAATCCCTCTCAAGACCGCCAACTATTGCGTGCAATTCCCACGTGGTATGAATGCTATCGGCACCTGGTTAAATATTAATTGTAATTTGCTTAATATATGTGAATTTATATTATTTATAATTATGGTAAAACAATTTACAAGTTTTTGAGTAATTGTGTTGTAATTAAGCGATAGGTTAATTTTAAATGAATAACATTTTAATGAGCTCTCAATTTTTATAAACACATTATAATATACTTTTTAAGTTTAATTAAATTTAAATATGACCATTTTAAATTTATATAGTTTTATACAACTCACTGGCGGTGTAGTTAATATTAATGGTAATCTCATTTCCCTTGTGGAGAGTACAGGGACTGGTTGTACAGCCACTAACCTCAACACTTTTTAGTTCAAATTGACCTATATTTAAAACAAACATTAATTAGTAATTACATTAATAATATTTTAATAATAATAATTAAATATAATAGTTACCACAGTCTTTGAAGGGAATGCCAGCCGTGACAGCGGCGATGAATAGTGTTAAACAAAAAGGGATCAACATGGTTTTACTTATTACTATTACTAATTTATAAGTGTAACTAAAGTAAAGAAATTAATAATTAAATAATATTAAATAATAATTGCTATGATACTGTATTTATACTAGGTAGAATTCATTTAACATAACAACAAATGTTATTTTCCCATAGGGTTTTGAGATAAATTTTGAATTTGTTTGCATAACTATTAGAAAATATTTTAGACAATATCTGGTTATTGTCAATAACTAGACACAATAGAAACTTAACATTACATTATTACACTTTGTTGCAGTTTACACTTTTAATTTAGACTTTTACACAATTTAAAAAAAATTACTTAGATATAACTAATAAATGTGTTTAAAATAACTAAATTTATATAAATTTACATTAAATTATAAATTATGTTAAATATTTTTATTGTTTTTCACTTACATTATAGTTAAAATATTTTAAAATACTATTATTATGTTTATTAAATTCAAATTAAATGTTTATAACTTTATTATTAAAACAGTTAATACTAGCTAAAATTATAAAACAGATTTGTAACAATTATTTAATTAGGATAACAATTTAGCTAATATCACAAAATAAAACATCATTACATTAATATATACCACGTGTGAATTATTACATTGTTTTTGATTGGTTTTATAAGGAAATTCTTTACAAGAATTTTCATTAAATTTATCTCTTGTTTTATCCAAAATTGTTTTCATTGTATCATATTTTTCAGTTTCACCTTGGCAATTTTTCTATTAACATTAGAATTTATAGATTAATAATATAATATTTAATAACACAAATGAAATTACATTAAAAGTGTTACATATTTCACATGATAAATTAAGTCAAAATATAATTATCATAGATTAAATTAATTTATAATATTACCTGGCCGAACGTAACTGTGCAATCATAGAAAACCGATCTAGCGCAGCATTGATTTTCAATGTCACTAATGCCAACATCTGTATTAATGTTTGTTAAATTGAATTCTGGTACAATTGCCTTAACACACATCTCATCATCTTTAGTGATCTTCTTGAAACAATTATCATTTATCAGGTCTACAACCGGATCAGTTGGTACAGTAGTTTTGCATTCAGTTTGACCCTGTTTATACGGGTGCTCTTTGCACATATCCTGATCCATAAACTCTATGCCCTTTTGTATAATAACTTTTGTGGCTATAAATGTTTCAGCCGTACATTTATCCTGTAACAATAAGTTAGTATTATAATTAATAATTTTTAATTTATATACAACATAAATACTATTGCAACATAGACTATGAATAGTAAGTAATATTGATTATTATCAGTTTGATTGGAGTTTTATAATAGGACTATTATTTTGTATATTTTAGATTAAAATTTTTAATAATGTATTTATGGTAAAATATTTAAAAATTCCAATACCTCTCCAATTGTATTAAAACAATCAATGAGTACAGAGAGAGCACAACACCGGCGCTCGACGTCAGCGATACCAAAGTCCGACCAAAATTTTAAAATATTGAAATCGTGGACACTTTTCTCAACACATATCAAACTTCCGACTAATACTTGTTTAAAACACGGGTCAGATGTTAAGTCATCGAATGGGGTCGCACTGTATCTACTAATTAACAAGGACAATATACAAAAATATAATTTGAGATTGCACATTTTGTTTTCTGATGTGCAATATTGATTTATTGATGTGTTTAATTTACAACGCGTTAACTGTGTTTGCATGTAGGTATTAGAAAATGTGTGTTTATCAGAAAATCAATATTTAACCATGGTCACCAGTAACTAATAGATATCTTATATAATAGTTTAGTTATTAATACAATTTCATGTGATTTAAAGAAATGTTGCAATTTTCATTGATTGTAAATTAGCCTAACAAGTAAGTAAAGAATTACCATAATTTATTATTTATGACTCAATTTAGAAATTGCAATACAATAAAATCTATTTTAAAAGTTAACAAACAAGGTATGAGACCACATATCACAATACTCAGTCAAAAAGAGTATACAATAACATCAAATATTTTAAATTTACAGTCTAAATACATAATTTTATTATTTTTTGTTGTGTTAATTTAGAAAACACTAGTTATTAAAAATATTACAAAAACAATTATATTAGAAATATTTAAATAAAACATTATGGACAATACGCCAATATTTATAAATAAACACAAATGCATATTGTTTACATTGTGTTTATTTTTAAATTTACAGGCAATATATTATTTATTTGTCATTTGTTATTAATTTTTTTAAATTAACTGTAAAGGTTATTTAATGTTTGTAAATTAATATAAATTTATCAAGATGGAGTATAAAATTGGGGTAACTGTTTCAATTATTAATTATTTTTATATTTATTAACTATTTTTCATTTATATAAAAAATAAACTACGTTTAATATAAATACTTTTAACCTTACATATTAATATATAACTGTATAATTAAAGTTAACAATAATTACAATTAATAATAAATACAATTAATTTATATATTGAGTTAATACTATATTATAATTTACAATAAATACTATGTGTACAATACTTAATTAATTAAATTGCTTAATTATGACAAGCATTTTGCAATTATTAGCATTATAGTGACCAGGGTGATGCTAACAAACAGTGCATGTGAACTACCACATTGATTTTTATCATCTTCATAACGATGGTCGCTGCAAGTTGTCCAGTCAAACAAATGTATTGTATAATTTAGCCATTGTTTCATTGTATCATAGTTTTCATTTGCACCAGTGCACATTTTCTAATAAATAAAATGCAATAAAAAATAATTACATGTTAGATTGAATAGTCAATAT